ACAAGTACAGAGTAGCGGAAATCACTCTCTTCATTTAACTCCTCCCCTTGGGGAGCAATGGGCTGCCTTTGTGCGGCGCCCGGGGAGCAGTGTGGGGTTTAGGGTCTTGCTCAGGGACCCAGAGTGGAGCTCGAACTCAGAACCTCTGGATTCCAGGCTCCATGCCCTAAACCACTAGGCCATCGCTCCCCAATCTAAAACAATAAACTTACCAATTCAAAATGAAATAATAGCCCAAATAAGTAAAACATGAAATATAAAAAAATGATTAAACAATCAACTAAATGAAAACTATGAATATGAATAAATTTGAACAAAAAATATTAAATAAATAAATATTCCTTATATAGAAATGCAATTATTTAAAAAACTGCTACCATTACTTCCTTTATATGTATAAAGGAATAGTAATAAAGAAGTAGAAGTAATAAAAGGAAAGTGTATTTCTAGGTTATTGCTGGTTTATTGCGTTCTTATTTTTGTGTTTTTGTCATGATTTTATCAAGAGCTCGGACCCACAAGCAGAAAACAATTCAGAGAGACCAGGGGAAAGTTTAACAGGTTTATTGAGAAGATTGTGATGAATCCAGTGTAGCTCTGAACTCTGCTCAACCGGAACTGGAAAGTGAGGGGAAGACACTGGTTAGTTCAGGCTCAGTGGGAAATTTGATTCTCGAAGTTGAAGAGGAGAAATAGATTGCAGACTCACGTTTCCAGAAAATGGATGACTCTTTGACTCCAGTCGGTGTGGGGGTGTTCCAGTGTTTGTCTCGTTCGATGGAGGGCGGACAGGGTTTACCCAGAATGCTGTTGTTTGTAGGTGAACGGAGAAGCTGACTGCCACTTAGATTTCCTGCGGTACTTGAACGGGTTGTTGTGGAGATGAATCCCCTGCTCAGAGAGAAGCCCCAGACATTCCTTGGGGAAAAGGGTTGATCAGAATCACACCCTTGAATCCTTAACTCAGCTTGATTCTCAGAAGATCCTTCCAGGGAGAGAAGGTCCGAAACATCCAGTAGTACCTGTAGTATAGATTTGACCTACATTCTCTTTTTAAAATTATTAATATTTGAGGTGTCAAAAGTATTAATGTTTATTAAGCCAGCGCTAGTAGAAATTCTGCTGTTTAGAACAGTTTTATAGAAGTTAGAGGATCGACTTCAGCTTTATACTGCAGTAAAAGTATAAAAGTAAAAGTACTGCAGGAAAAACTGATAAGACCAGAAGCTTTACTGCTCTACGCTATTAAAGGAACATTTTTCTACAGTCAAAAGCAGAAAGGTGAGCAGACTGATGGAAGATCTACAGCAGGTGTTTGTCCCTCATCACAGCATGGACATGTTTACCACAGCAGAGCTTTTAGAGATGCTGGAAGATGCTTAAAAACACCTGCAGAAATTAATGATGAGCAAAAGTTGGATTTGTTTTTACTCCATACAAGGAAGCAGGAAACAGTAAAGCTGTTGATGTTCTGTCTGCTGTCCAGAGAGCTTCTAACAAAGGTGTCAAACTATGGAAGTTTATTCCTCCAGTTTAAACTCTGCTGTTTAAAAACATTTTATAGAAGTTAGAGGATCAACTTAAGCTTATTACTCCAGTAAAAGTGTAAAAGTACAATTTTTAAATCTACTTAAAGTATAAAAGTAAAAGTAATGCAGGAAGAAATGTTAAGGCCAGAAGATTTACTGCTCTACTCTATTAAAGGAACATTTTTCTACTATTCTGGATGATAACTTCCTTAGACTTTATTCTCTTAGTTTTATAACTAATGGTAACAGAGTCATGTTTAACTTTGTATCATCTGGAAAAACTATTTATTTTGGTATGTGGTGAGCAACAAGTTGGGGCAGCACCGAGTCCAACCACAAAGACATTAATTGTCTGGATGAAACTAATTATTTTGATGGTTTTTATTTTTGTTTAAACACCAACAGGCCAGAATGAAAATGAGCTTAAATGAAACAAAACTAATTTTTAAAATGTAAGGAGAAAAAAAAAAAAAGTTGTCTAAAAATAATTACTCCATTAAAGTATAGAAAGCCAACATTACTACTGTAGTAAGATAAAGTATTTGGACTTTGTTATATGACACCTCTGATTAATATTAGATTTACTTTATTAAAATGTAAATAAATTAAATTAACTTTCACTTTTTTGGGTAAAGCTTATCTTTACAGTGAGGGAGTCCAGATATCAGTCAATAAAATTAATAAAATAGGCGAAGCGTCGACTCGCTACACCAAAATATTTTGGTGAGAACCTTAATATATGTGAGGCGCCGTGAGAAAACTGGATCACAAACTGAGAAAAACGGCACAAAATTAGAAAAAGGGGCAGAAACATAAAATCCTGAGAATAAAGAAGAAGATTTTAACAAATTCTGAAGGTTCCAAGCAGTTAACTTTCTGTGTCAACTAAACCTGTTTTTTATCCTATTAAAGTTATTTCTTTCAACATCTTAAAAATATTTGTCTGTTTAATGCACAGATGTGATACAAATATGGTCATGCAGGGCGGGACCTCTCCCTTACATAGAGAAATGGTGTCATTTTTTTAAAAACTTCCCTGGATCGACATTTCCTAACAATGAACCTAAAGAACAGGAATTTCCATGTTATGTCCTTCATGTTCTGATTATTTTCTCATTTCAACAGAGCTACTGCTTTATACCTAGAACTGTTTTTTTTTTTATTGTAATTAGCAATCAGGAAGCAGCATCTCTTGAAATTTATTTCGCTAAATGTAGATCAGGGTGGAAATCAAACACTCAGAGATATTTTGAAATTGTCATGAATTGAGGGTGTTGGTTAGAGGACCCAAATGCAGAGACGAGTTGGTTGAGATGAATTTAAGTGATTTAATAGGTTTTCAGGTTCTGAGGCAGGAGGTAAAAATCCAACAAAAATATCTTAAGAACCAGAATCTAGGAGACATCAGGGAAAAACCAAAAACTAAGAACCAGGAAGAGACAAGGAAGGACGACAGAGAACTGACCAGAGGTTTGATGAGATGTAAGACGAGGATCCAGCAAACAGGAACTGAAGAGGGAGGGCTTTTAAAGGGGACAGAGACAGGAAGAGGGCTAACGAGGGAATTGAAAACAGGTGAGAGCAGAACAGAAAACAGAGCAAGAGAAAGAGGACACAAGAGGGCAGCAGAGGACAACAAATGGAAAACCTGGAAGACAGGAACCAATAAGAAAACAACAACAAAATAATAATCGAATAACTAGGATAAAGAAACATGGTGAAAAGAAAACTAAACACTAGAAATCAAGGAGCAAAAGAAAAACATAACAGAAACAGAAACCTAACAGAAATAAAGATAAAAGCATGAGAAGCATAATCTTGTGCTAAATGAAAATTAGTCCCTTATCCTTTCATTTACAACTTGACTTCTCTATCCTGCATTTAGTAAACCTCCACAGAAAAAGCGCACCTTCCTAAAAGCCGCATAGTTCAAAGCGTGGGAAAAAAAGTAGTGCGTTTTAGTCCGGAAAATACGGTAATAATTGATATAAGTTCAGAGATTATTGTAAATAAAAAAAACTGCAAATCTCTGCATCATTCCAAAGATGACTCCTTTCAGCACAGGAAGCACTCCTTATAATGTTTATTTGTTTTTATTAATCAAGTTTGGTGTAACGTTAAAAGAATAGCCACAGAAGTTATTGATAAGACGCCGTCACTGACAAGTTTGGATAAAAGGTGTCAAAACCATGATTTTTTTTTAATGAATCTGTCAAACAACCACATCTTTCAAGGATTCACATGGATAAGAAGGGTGTAAATATTTAAACTTTTGAAGAATTTTAATGCATTTTTTACTCTGGGTGCATACAGAGTGATGCGCATTCCTGCACCAGTGCATGCAGATATCAGCAATCCTCCTGTCCTCATGTCTTGGGTCTGTGGTTTGATTCCAGTGGTGTCTCCTGCACACTGGAAATCATACTGTAGGGCCCCAGCAACTGCCTACTTTATCACTAACTTCAGGATTAAATAGATTAAATGGATTAAAGTTACCTGCACCAGCTTTACACTGTGAGCTTTAGATGCATGAAATAGATGCTACATTGCTGCTGATGCCAAAGCTGTTGCTGCTTGTTCAATGTGGTTCATTTGAATCCTGCCTGAGTTTAAATCCATTTAAACATTTAAACCTTCATCCTGACTGTTTGCTACCTGCATGGTTTTGAGTCCATCGCTGCATCTTATACACACATTTGGTAAAAATGAAAGATATAAATCATTTGTTTGCAATGAGTTATATATCTTATTGTAATCATTTCTAGTTGCTCTCAATATGTTTATGTACTTTTTCATGTCTTCTATTCACTGAATGTATAGACATACAGATAATAGAGTGAGGTGAGGGATAGCTGGAGGCATGAGACTGCAGTAGAAGTGCTGCAGAACAAGCTACCCTAATGGCACACCATAAAAAACGCCTAATAGTGTGTGTGTGTGTGTGTGTGTGTGTGTGTGTGTGCATGGGAATAATTATAATAAAAAAAAGCAATTCATTTCATAAGGTAATTGGTTAATTTATGATTAAAACTCTTATAGAATATATTTTTTCCAGAATATTTTTTTTCATCTATTAGTTTTATTTTTCCATAATGTTTGTTCTATTTTCAGAGGCTTTTAGAAATGTGTTTACATAACCTTTGTTTTCCTTGTTTCGGGGCTGTTTTCTCTGTAGTTATCTGGTCATCACATATTGTCTGAATTAAAAAGATTCCTCTCCTCTAATCACTTTGTTATTTGTGCCCTCTTTTGGCAGTTTTAATGTACTGCAAATACTGCAATGGCTCAAACTCTCCTCTGTCAAGTCAGCAAAATATGAATATTAAAATTCTGCAAAAAAACTGAAGACATATGTTTTTTTTTTCAAGGGACTGAGTTTAAATTGTTGCTGGCTGTAAATAAATAAGTATGAGGTGATAATGCAACTCATCTGTAGTTTGTCATTGTCTCCTTTTTTTTTTTTCTATGCAGTACGTGGCCTTTGCTTCGCTGTTCTTCATCCTTCTCTCTATCTCCACCTTCTGCTTGGAGACCCACGAGGCTTTCAACACCATCTACAACAAGACGGAGAACGTCACCGTTGGCAACGTAACACGTGAGGAGGTACGGCAGCAATATTATCCAAAATGTTCTGCCCAAATGTGGGCGCTTAAATCATATACTTAGAGGTCAGCACTGCCTTATTCCTTTAAAGGTTAAAGGATTATATGATCATTTCTAAATATTTAGTTTAGAGTTAAATATTTAATTTTTTAAATTAATATTTAGCTCCAAACTTAACATTTATTTAACAAACTAAATATTTGATTTTCAAAGTGAATATTTTGCTAACGCAAAGCTAGCTAAATATTTAGTTTGTTGAATAAATATTTAATTTAGAGCTAAATGTTTATCTAACAAACTAAATATTTAATTTGAAAACAAAGTATTTAGTTTTGAAAATAAATCTTAAATTAAAATAATTATTTAGTTTGGATAGTAAATATTTAACTTGCTGACAGATTTTTTAACTGACTATCTAAATATATATTTTAGAAATTTGATTTTTATAAATGAAGGAATAACTCCCTAATTCTTCTCTTAAAACACGCTAAATAACTATAAATATTGCTCCTGCTTTTTTACTGCCTAACTTTACGAATGGCACCCCATAATAACCTTCCTCTTGCTAAATGATTAAGTCTTCTAATCCTTTTTTTTTTCATTCACTTTACAGATTGTTTATGAAGTTGTCACCGACGGCTGGCTGACATATGTGGAAGGTGTCTGTGTCATCTGGTTCACTATTGAGGTGATGGCCCGTGTCATCTTTTGCCCCGACAAGGCAGAATTCTTCCGTAGCGCCCTTAACATCATAGACTTTGTGGCTATTGTTCCCTTTTACCTGGAGGTTGCACTCAGTGGCCTCTCCTCTAAAACAGCCAAAGATGTGTTGAGCTTCCTACGTGTGGTACGCTTTGTCCGTATCCTGCGTATATTCAAGCTAACCCGCCATTTTGTCGGTTTACGGGTCTTGGGACACACTTTGCGAGCGAGTACCAATGAGTTCTTGTTGCTAATCATTTTCCTGGCGTTAGGTGTTCTCATATTTGCTACTATGATCTACTATGCGGAACGTATCGGAGCTGACCCAGATGACCCGACTGGCGCTAACCACACCACCTTTAAGAACATTCCTATTGGCTTCTGGTGGGCTGTGGTGACCATGACCACTCTTGGTTACGGAGACATGTACCCTGAAACATGGTCTGGAATGTTAGTGGGTGCTCTATGTGCCTTGGCGGGTGTGCTCACCATCGCTATGCCTGTGCCTGTCATTGTCAACAACTTTGGGATGTACTACTCACTGGCCATGGCCAAGCAGAAGCTTCCAAAGAAGAGGAACAAGCACATCCCAAGAGCACCACAGCCGGGAAGTCCCAATTACTGCAAGCCAGATGCGTTAGCAATGGCAACTGCTTCTCCACATAGATTAATGGGCAATGTGCTCGGGCCAGGCATGGTGGAATCTGGCAGCATGATGGGTGCAGGAGACTGCCCACTGGCACAAGAAGAGATCATTGAAATAAACAGGGCAGGTAAGTTAGATCGCATTCCCCTTCATAAAAGGCATGCCACTGAGGAATTTAGAACAGTAAGGAGAAATGCATCAAAAAATAATTTTACATTTATTGATGAAGAAAACTGTAATTATTCCTTGATAATGTTTTAAAGTGAGTCATAACATGTTTTTTACTCAGATTCATGTTTAATCATTTTTTGGAGAAATAAATAAATACTAGTGCTCATTTATTTCCCTATTGAGACCCCTTTTGGGCGGGGTAAGAAATGACCCTGCTAGAGAAATTTAATTTTGATGTTTCTTTTGAGAAACAATAAACAAAAAGACCCTTAGTCTAGTCAGTGTGGAATACCCAACTGTTTTACAGAAAGAAGACTTTGTATGGAGTGCTTCTCTCATTCTACTGGGACAATTTTCACTCCAATTAAAAATCATATTTTGATTATTAAATTATATATAAACAGAAACATGCACAAAGGTCATGCTTGGTCTCTGGTCCCTCATAATGGCAGTGCTTTATCCTTACATCAGTGTTAGTCCAGCCAAGCGAACATGGGTGGGTAGTCGTACTAGAAACAAGGGGTTGTTGACCCATGCACTGTAAGATATTTTCAATCATTGTATTCAGATACAGCTCAAACTGAACAACGAAACCCCAAGGTGTGAAAGTTCATAGCTCACGATGCATGTTCTTAATCTAAATGTCCCGATGCTCTGATCTACCTGCTCAGACTGTACGTCCAAAAACCACCCGTCGGACTCAGTACCGAGAGACGGCACTGGTTGGACTCGTCAATCTCTAAGAATTAGAACTCCCACTGCACATGCACAGTGCTCAAGGTTCTAGTAGATCGGCTCATAGCTCTGCTTCAACTGCAGGATTTGCCTCACAACGGCAGACTGAATTTCAGCTATATTTGATTTTCTCCCAACCTTACGATTTCTTATCGGGAGGTGGTCATGAGAGGCTGATCGCCCCTCGTTACCCGCTGTATACTACACGACGCTGGACACACTGCAAGGCTGAAACTCAGCTTGATCCAAGAAACTTGCATGACTGGAGAAACGGCCCAAAAAGGGCTAAACTTCCTACAGTGTATGCCCGCCTTAAGCTTGCCTACTCCTAGCTAGCACCACACCAAGTCATTTGTTTTGGTTAGTCTGGCATTACAGCTACCCTGCTCGTAAAATATTAGTAACACCAGGATCTTCCCAAACAACAAAAATGAACAATCCGCCTTACTTTGGTTTGTTCCTTAATGACCGGTGTGCATCGCACTCACTAGAGCTGAACAAATCCGTTAATCCATAAGACTTTATTGGTCCAAAAGGGAAATTAAATGTTTTAACTTTCAGTGTTTTTTGAGTGTAGTTAATGGCTGTATAGAATAGGATCTTAAATAGTGGCCTTTAGAAGCCTTTGACTGAAGACACCCTGTTAATATTTAAGTCTTCTGAAAAGAATGGACTTCCCGTTGTTCGTTTCATATAGAATTCCTCTGATGATCTCCAGAGGTTTTAGAGGAGTTCCCAGACAGACCTGTCCTGTATTAGCTCGTTAAGCTTCCTTAAGGCAATTGCTCTAATGCTGCCAGCCAATATGATGATGGCAGCAGATATAAACAGACTTGAACAGGATAAGCAGCATCTTGCTGCAAACTCTGAGGGACCTACGCTTCCTCCTTTAGCTCTGTCTCTTCTACTTCAATGTCCAGGTAAATCCCGAGTTATGAGTACTCCTCCACCACCACATCCACATCCCATAAGTGTAATGTTGTTCGATTTGTTTCTGTTGCCTCTGAAATCTACAAATATCTGTTTTGTTTTATTTGGGAAGAGATTCACTACAACCATAAAAATCACAAACTGCTGCACAGAGGCGAAACCGCCCTTAAAAGGACATATCTTTACCTTTAAATCAGATGACATTGTGTTGTACAACAGATCAAGAGCTGCAAAGGAGGCTTACAAGAGGAAGGTCAAGTCTCATCTCTAGAACAATCACCCTCAGAAGACATGGTTAGGGGTCTGGCATAGACGAAATACAACGCTAATTCATCAGCAAAGATCAATGAAGATGCCTTGTTAGCAGAAGAACCTAATAGCTTCTTCGACTGCAGAGCATAGAAGACCAAAGGTTCTCACCCTTTCAGGAACAACAGGTTAGGCATGCACTAAAGGCGGTTAAAGCATGAAAAGTGGTAGGACCAGAAATGTTTTGCCTGTGCAGAGAAACTGGCAGGAGTCCGGACGGGGATTTTCACCCTATCCCTATCCATGACTGAAGTACCATCCTATATAAAAGAAAAGCTACAGCCATTAAAGACCTCAATGAACAGTGACACTGATGTCTTTGGTGAGGAAGTCCTTGAAATGATTGTTTTCTAGCACCCCCTAAGAAAATTGCCTATAGGGCGAACTGGTCCACAGGCCCTTTAAACTTCCCGGAGCCATCAAGAACTCCTGAGGAATCGATGTCAGGATGGTGTTTGTTGACTGTAGCTCAGCATTTAATGCCAACAGCACTGACATCCTGGTAGAAAATCTGTTTCACATGGATTTAGACCCTCTGGCTGTATGTGCTGCTGGATCAAGGACTTTATTAACTGACCACAGGTTGTAACGCTAGATCGGTGGAGCCAATGTCAGGGTGGCGGGGTCCAC